CCTCCACTTACCATGAGGCAACAGGACTAGATATTATTTAATTGAAATCATATGCAATGACTGTCAACTGAGTAATGCAACCTTAAACAAATTTCAGTCATAGTTTTATACCCTCCTTTTATAGACAACTGTACACCGGCATTTTCTTCATGTACTGTCATAGTAGTTCCAACTCATATTGATTTGAATATGCTTGCTTATTAAATGTTATTATATGCAGGTTCACTTCTTGTTGCATTATCTGCATTTTGAGCCTCCATGCCTTCAGCAAATCAATCTTCAATAGACACAATTCAACCAATGCTTAGCATACTGAAGTTTTGGTTTATTTATTTCGGATTTATGGATGAGCCTAAATTATTCCAAGAGACATCAAAGAGATTTAAGCATGTTGAATATCATCTGGGATGTGCCTAACAAGTTCAACCTGTCCTACTGTAAAATGTATGCTTATTGTTATGCTGTAATTCTCATGGATGTAGCATCCCACCACAGAAGTTAATATTCTTGCTGTCCAAAGTATGAGAATGTGTTAACAGCCATGTGAATCCTTCTGTCTAGATATATGCATTGGACCAGGAGTTTCTAAACTTTGGTACCCCAGATGTTTTGGACCTCTGTTCCCAGAAACCCTAACTGTTGGCCAAGCTGGCTAGGGCTTCTGGGCATTAATGTCCAGAACATCTGAAGGACAAAAGTTTGGGGATTGCTTCATTAGATCAAGAGTATGAATTGTATGACTCGCCAGACCCTAACTAGGGATAATGGATATCCCCCACTACCTATTTTAGTGCAGTTTCCTCAACTACTTTCTCAGAGCTTGGAAACTTTTTTTTCCTGGACTACAGCTCCTAGAATTTCAGGCAGCATGAAAGCTGTTGTCCGAAAAGCAACATTTCAAACTCTATGCCTTCTTCTTTAAAGACAAGAAGTGCCTTTTCACCATGGCTACAAGCACACTACAAGGAAGAGAGTAGTGTTACACATAAAACTGCCCCATCCTATACCACCAAAGTTGGTATTTCCTTCAGACATCACATTACAACCACAGTAGCAGATGGCTATTAAGGCCTTGTCTGCCTTTTAAAAATCGAATCAGCCTATGATTCAGAAAGAGGGGTCACACTGACGTAGCATCTGAAATTACAGATGTTCAACAGTCACACACATTTACACAGATATAAACACCTAATAAAATACTAGCTATAACTTATCCACCTCCATCTCCTTCCTCCCTCCACTTATGGAATCCATGGTTTTCAATCAGTAGAGCAACTTATTTCATCTTTTAAAAATAGGACCAGGTGGTAGCTGATCACATGCTCTGGGAATTGTTTAAGCAGATCAGCTCTATCTCCCACAATCTATATCCCTTTACTTGCTTCCAAGGGTGAGCCTGTACCAATGTGTGCTGTGCCAGCACTGCCAACAAGTGTTAGTGCTAATGCCCAGGGAGGGGTTTACCCTGCCCTGTGCCAACAACTGAGAGAGCTGTGAGTTCTCCTTGAAGCTGAGATCTCCTGGCTCATTGTCAGTAAGCCCATGCCAGCTGCACCAGCCAATGAAAGCTTATAGGAAAAATAAATTTGTCATAGGAAAACTACAGAAATGTGATTGCTTTCATGCAGGACTACAGTAAGGAGATTGTTAGACAAAATTTTGCTAATGCCAGGGGGAAAAAGAAAGAAGACAAACCTTGCCAAATTAGATTTTGGTCAATTAAATTGTAAGTGCCCAAACCTTTTCCACAAAGAACTAAAAGCAAGCTTTTTAAAAGAATGAAGATGTCAATTTTTCAATCATGTATTTACAAGAAACTCTAGAAGTGGCAATTTTGCTCCATCATCACACCTAGGTATAAAGACAGGCCAGAGGAGGAGGAGCTGCAGGGAATCTTTCTCTTTCCTCCTGGCCAGAAAGAAATCAATTCTAAGTGACAATTGCTCTAGGACTATAGATGTGAGAGTGAGGACACTGACCTTTGTCAGCAGTATAAGAAACAAAGGTATTATGTCATTTTACAGTGCCACCTTATGTGTATCAACTCAAGACAGAAGTACTATTTTTCTATTCAGAAGTTATTGCCAGGCAAGTGGCAGTAGGATTTCAGCCTTAATGCATTAGACAGACTTGGCAGTAATTTGACCAAAAGGTGACATGAGCTCTCTTAGGTATACCATGTAAAGCAGGGAGGGGCAAAGTGTGATTCTGGGCCTGTTTTGTAGCCCTCAGCCTCTCCAAATTTCTAGGACCACAATTTTTTGGCCAAAACAAGGTGAATTGGCCCTCCTGAAAGCCTCTAATCCACCTTTTAAATAAGCTGCAGTCCTCCACATTGAATTGCTTAATATCAAACAAAATCCATTTTTAAAAATCAGAAGGAAACATTCAAAAAATTTCCCTTCTTTTCTTTCCTTTTTTGGTATTCCATGTATGGTAGTCCATATACAGTCCTGGAAGGTCTCATGGCCATAAAATTGGCCCTGCACGAGACACAGCTGTCCATGCCTATGTTAAATGGGAATGCTAACACTGACAGATGCTTTGCCAAGCCTCATTAAACTATGGACCAGAAGTGTGGAACATACTGCTATTTCCAATAGTCCTAGCTAGCACAGACCAACCTGAAGGCTGATGGAGTTACAATCTAACAACATTTGGAGAACCATATGTTCTCCATCCTTGCTCTGGATGACAAATACTCATACAACTAATATATTTTGTATTTCTTGCACTTGGTATTCAACAATCACTGTAGTCTAAGATGGTTACCATCACTGTTATATGCAAGGCAGTGATGAAAATTACCCCCCCCCTTTTTTTTCTGGAACAGGCTTTAGGGATTGGAGCACATCTCCTATGATGAAACACTAAAGCACTGAAGGCTCTTTAGTTTAGAAAGGGCAACTAAAGAGGATGACACATCACAGATTTAAAACATCTTTCTTATATGACTAGAAATCAGCATCTTCTGGTGAAATCAAGTGGTAGTGAGTACTGACCATCAAAAGACAAAATGATCAATTTATAGAATTTTCTGCCACAGATTAAAATTCATCCCCCAGCAATGTTTAGCTGACCCTGGAGGTTGCCTATTTGAGGAAGATTATCAATATCTCTTTTTAGAGAGATTTTAAAGGTTGGTTTAACTACTGAACACCATAGTGGCTTAATGAAGTTTCTGATATGCTATTATGTAGCTTTATTGCCATCATCTAATTCTATTTGTAGATTTTGAGAATTATGGGTTGCAGAATTAGCTAGAGAAAGCAGGACCATTCCATTAGTTTTGCAAAGGGATCAGCTCTGTTGGGTTTCTCTCTCTCATATCACACAGAAGCCAGGATAGAGCAGAAGGAGAAATGGGGAGTCCATTTCATCATCTGTGCTAAGAGAACAACTCCATTTTGTTCTTCTTTTCTAAAAACTGTTTCCATTCCAGCTGGTCACTGTAAGAAAGATATAGCTTTAAGAATAGGAATTTGTATCTGTCGTTTACCTTCTTTTTCCTAATCTCTTTTCCCTTTCGTGTTATGCCTTTTAAGGACATTATATTTGCAGAAAGAGACCACCTTTTTTTTTAAATGGATGTAAACATTTCTGGGATCCTTTTCAGCTGAGAAGGGATTTAAAAGTGGTTTGAATAAATAAAAGCTAGGATGTGACGTTGATGGTCACTGACTTACATGGCACTAAAGGAGAAGGCGATACATTCAGAATTAACAACTATTGGCCTTGTTAACTAAATGAAACCATCAGGTTAAGAGGCAGTATGTCAATAAATGCCAATTACTCTGAGACACTATAGGCAAATAACAGAGCTTGAAAAGGTTACTTTTTTGTACTACAACTTCCAGCCACGTCAGCGTCTCTCTTCCAGGTTCTATGAAAGGGAAACTCCTCTTATTGTGGCTTTCTAGAAACCTACATCTGGATTAACAGGAGTTGACTCAGTATGGCTCTTCATATGATAATGATTTTTTTAAAAAATCCTCCTTATCTATGTATAAGAGAAAACAAAATTAGTCTTTCTTTAAATCGTCATGTAATCTTAGAACAGTTCATTGCATGCTACAGTACTCCATAGGCACAACCATCTTAGTTGCTTTGTTAATTTCTTCATGAATTTTCCCATACATATGGGGAACATTACATAAACGAAATTTAAAATTACACACTGAAGGGCAGCCAACCCAATACAATAAAAGCTCTAATAGAGAATTATCAAACAATAAAACTTTGGAAAATTTTAGTCTCTTGGTTTTGTCAGAATAGGAAAGCAAGGTATTTATTTTAATAAAACAAATACGGTAAGTATAACTATGATTCTGTCAAACAAAACAAAGTTGTAAAAAGACAACGTAATAAGCAGTTTTACACTTTATTTTAAATTACACAAAAATACAATAGCATAATTAAATTATAAAAATGTTGTTTATTTACCTGATTGAACGATACATCATGAAATCAATTGTTGTACATCTAGGGAATTTACCAATAGAACTTTCTTCCACTGGTGTATAGACCTTAATTTGTCGCATATGAGTGTCTCTTCCATTTTGATGATTGGCTAAAACAGCAATCTGAATCATGAAAGTACGTATAGGTTTCTTGTGAGTATCAGTTAAAGGAACATGAATCCAACCACTTGGTTCCACTAATTCAAGTTGCTAGAGAAGGAAATGGGAAGGAAAAAGAAATACTTAGAATAAAATTCAGTAATAAATTATCATTTATTTGCATAACCAACTGAGTTAACATATTCAGTACAAAAAGAAATGGGCAGAAATGGAGAATACAAGTTTACACATAATAGGCTATTCGCCAAGCATCTAGCATTTCATTGTTGTGTGCCTTCAAATCATTTCCAAATTATGGTGACCCTAAGGCAAAATTATCACGGGGTTTTCTTGTCAAAATTTGTCCAGAGGGAATGTGCATCTGCCTTTCTCTGAGGCTGAGAGAATGTGACTTGCCCAAGGTCACCTAGTGGGATTTTATGGCAGAGCAGGGATTGGAAACCTGGTCTCAGAGTCATAGTCAAACACTCAAACCACTACACCATGCTGGCTCTCTTAACATTTCATACATAGACATAAATAAACATATCAGTGAGCACCTTTGGAAGAAAACAGAAAGGTTTCTTTAAAGATATACCAAGTGTTTCCCCATGTACTGACCAGGATAGCTTGTGCATTTTAACAGAAAGATACATAGTCCTTCACATATAGTGGTCATCAGTGTGGGAAATATTGGTGCTGCAAACATCATGCACAGGAAAATATGTACATTAGATTTTGGTGAAGCACTTCTCTATGTCATTGTCACGTGTTTAGTGAATTTACATGTCAAAAAATCTGGTCTTTCCAAATCACACTGCATGGGTTTCCCTATTTTGATGCCATGCGAAATTTCATGACAGTGTCATGTGCATGAGATCATGATTAGGATGACCGCCTCACTGCAACTTTTATTATACAGGCTAAGTACCTCTTATTCAAAATGCTTGGGACCAGAAGTGTCCTAAATTTCAAATTCTGGAATACCTGTACCTGCATACGCATAACAAGACATAAAAAGGCTTCAGACAGACAGAGGATCTCTGAAATAGTGGGAATCCAAGCCAAGTACCTGGCACAAATCAAAGCTTCCAGCCATTTCACAGAACCTCATGTCTTTCTCCAGCTGCATCTCTCAGCCTTGCAAATACAGTACAGGTATGTAGCTCAAAATGTTTTGGATTTTAGAATATTTAGGATTTTGGAATTCTGGAGAAGGGATACATGATTTGCACAGTCTGCAAAATCTAAGTGTCTACAGTTCTATATTCAACCAACTCTTATCCCTGCCTTAACATATTCCTTCTTCTATTCCTTATTGTCCTCAAGACTTGAGGTAATGTAAGAACCAGCAAACTGTCCTATTTTTGACCATGTCCTCATTGAATGAGACAGTCATCAGGCCCCTTCTAGAAAAACATTTGCTTCATTATTACAATTACTAGCAACCAACCCGTCTTCATGAATCTCCCAGGTAATTGTCACCACCAAACCTATGACTTGACATCATGTTGGAGACTTTTCTGGTCTACTCGATTAGCTGACACTTGCAGGAAGCAAGAAAATGCCAGATATAATGATGGAACAATACACATCTATTTTCTCAACGAGCATTCATCCATTCCGCATAATGTAGTTAGCCTCTCAACTATAATTAAAACCCTTGTTGTGCAGTAATTACCATAATGGACTAGGAATGAGGGCTATATTGGGCTAGGATGCATTACACTAGGACTGGGGAGACCCAAGTTCAAATGCCCATTCATTCACTGTACCACTTTAGGCCAATGACTCCAGGGTTGTTGCAAGGATAAAATAGTAAGGGGAGGACTGTCTATCTATCTATCTATCTCCTTAGCTGCTTGAATGGAACACATAAGGGGAGGCAGGCAGGCAGGCAAGCGGCCACTTTCCTAAAAATATATGCAAACAAATTTAGATAATGGTATCAATGCTTTTCCAACACTGACAGGCCCTTGCTTCCAATCCTACATATATTTATAAATTGTTTCAGTCTCGCTGTAGGCCTCAATATCAAGACAGCTGTGATAACCCGAGTACAAGGCCTGCATAATGAAATCAGTAATCTTGTTGATCTCACCAGGTCTCTTCATGATCTCTATTATTATCATGTATTCATGGATCTGGGATCATGTAATCAAGAAAGATTTTGCAGCTTTGATAGTTGTCAATCCCTTGAGTTTTTACCAGAACTTTATTTAAGATAGTTGATTCAAGTATGTCACTTTTCAGTGCTGGACTGAGAAGCCCCCTCTAAAGGCAACCATTTTGGCTTGTTCATTTGTGCAATATATTATCGCAAACTTTCAGCTGAAATATGCTCTTCTCCTTGCTTTGCAGCACTTGTGTGAGATGACAAATGGAGCTCTTCATAAAAGCTTTAAAGGAAGAACAACCCTATCATGAAATTCATTTTCCCTGCCCATGTACCGCAACATAACTACAAACACTGAGCTTCAACAGGCTGCTATGTAATTCCAAAACTGGAACTGTCAACACATGAAGTAGCAGATTTTGGCTGCCTGCCATCTCTTCGCTTAGGAAGGAAGAGAACAAGTTAATAGCAATGATGCACCAGTTCCAGCTAAAAAGTGAAGCATATCCAAAAGAAACTTCAGAAATTCCAAGTGAGTCAAAAGGAGGGACACCACAAGAGAAGCTTTACAAGAAATGCAGAAGTAAGTTCAGTCAAAGAACTCACTGTGAAAAGGCAGGCTCGTTTGCCCTAGTGAAGCAACGACCACCTAGGGAGGTGACTGTGTGGCCACCATCAGTCACCTCCTGTAAATGGTCAAGACATGGCTTACTTCAGTCCATTAGGTCAGAAGAGCTTTCTATTCACTCAAGAAGCTAAAACAGACATTCCTAAAGAGTCTCTGGGAAGACAGGCCTGCTCCATATAAATGCTAAAGATGAAAACTCTATTTCAATATAAATTTTAGTATGAGGAACATATAGAGAAGACGACCACCGAGGAGGAAATGATCTGGCCTCAGGAGAGCACCCCTGGACATATGTTAACAAAGTTTTACAGTGACAGCCTTTTGCTTTGTAGGAATGTCCTTTTAATATGGAAATAGCATAAAAAATGTTGGAATAATTAGGCATTAAAAATGAAAATGAGTGACATAGGATTTAAGAGCATGCAACTGGACTAGTAGAAATTGATTTCTCTTCCCTCCTACCCATAGTAATTACTGCAGTTCTCTCCTCAAGTGCTACACAAAGAATCAAGGAATCTTTCTGAATGTGTTAGGCTGTAGAGGGAATACGAGAGATTCCTGAAAATTGAGTAAAGCTGCTTTCCATGAGTAGCTCCTCTTGCAAATAATATGTTCTTAACTGCCTTCAGTCCCATTACTGAGAGACTGGCAGGATGTAAATGAAATAATCATAATCATACCTCTGTATGATTTTTGTGAATTTTCCCTCCACCAAATCTCATCAAGATTCCTCAGCCTCCCATTACCACATTCAAAAAATATTAATGATAGGCTTCAGACAGTAAGAGTATGAAAAATGATTTAAACCAAAAAAAATAGGTGAGGAATTCAAAGGTCAAATTAAAAACCAGTTGAAGATAAGGTATGTTTCCTTAGCAATGCATATGCTGTAGTAAAGATAACAAATATGGCATGACTATGGACTTTATCACACAATGAAAATCAGGGGGGAAATCAAGGGTTTAAAGAGTCATTATCCCATGAAAGTCGCGCAATCGCGGGAAGATTTTCACACATATTGCGATTAAAGAGGGCTTATCCCAGGAATAACCAGTAACAAATCATTCACAGGATCTCCCCATGAATGATTTATTGCTGATTATTCCCAGGTTACACACTCTTTAACCATGACGTCATGTGAAAATCTTTACCGCAACTGCACAACTGTCATGGGATAATGACTCTTTAAACCCCTAATTTTCTCCGTGCGATAAAGTTCTATGTGGCATTTCTCCTCCCGCTATGCATATTGTATTTCTGAATTCTAGATGGAATTATCTTACACATTTATGTCATTTTACTTTATTGACTATAGTAGTGATGCTGTGAATGATTATGCTACCGACTCTGTGAAACTTATCACATTGTTAAATAAAGCGACTTAGCTGATCTGGCTTAAAATTTAAATTGGGCTGCATCCTGATATTATCACAAGGATTTAGCCGCCGAATTTGCTGCTCAAATGCAGCCCAGGTCCATCCCCCTTCCCAGGGCCGCTCCAGTGGCCATTTTCTCAAGCCAGAAAATCCCGGGTTCAAAAAGAGACGTGCTAAGTGGCCTTGGGAGCGGGGATGGACCCGGTCTGCATTCGAGTGGCAAATTTGGCAGCTAAATCCTTGTGATAATATCAGGATACTGCCCGATTTAAATTTTAAGCTGGAGCAGCTAAGTTGCTTTATTTAATGATACAATAAGCTCCTGTTTCTTCTTGTTTTCTTATCCAGTACCTCTTGCCGAGAGGGGAAACATTTGATCTATATTTAAAAGATACAGAATCATAGCAAAATTTTACCATATCATGAAACCTAACACTATTTCATAGTGGTTCCCAAATGTTGTTCCTCCAGTTGTTTTGAACTTCAGTTCCCAAAAGCCTCAGCCAGTTCAGCCAATAATCAGGAATTCTGGGAGCTGCAGTCCAAAACATCTGGTGGACCAAAGTTTGGGAACCTGTAGAGCATAGAACCCTGAAAACTCATACTGAAGCAGAATAAGAAAACAGTGGCTTTGACAAAATCATCTCATTGCATAGAATTGTTTATTAAGTTTTTTAAAAGGAAAGGTGCTATATAATATATTTTAAATAAATAGAAATGGACTACTATCACTGTCAACATCTGCATTTTCTAAGAGGAACAGAAGACCACTAGGTCCTCTAAATGTTAGTGCTCTGCAGATCTCAAACTGACTCCATTAGAATTATAAGCAAGCAAGAAGACAGCACTTGGAACTTATCCACAGTAGAAAAAAGACAGATGAATATCAAACACTCATGTGTAGTCATCAATGAAACTGAAAGTTCAATCAAATGCATTATGATTTGCATAATGCATTGGGTTTGCCATTTACTGGGACTAGCTCTCCAATAAAGATTCTTTTAACTATACAAAACAGCAGCGTACATGGGCAATGTAAAGAAAAAACAATTCTAGTTCATTCATGACACACTTTATTTAAAAGAAAGGGAGTACCTTTACAAAGCGTAATTCTTAAGGTTCTTACACATAAATATAATTGTCATAAGAATGTACAAGAAAAAGAATTTGAATATCTAACAACATTTAGCAGCCTCTCTTTGATAATGTAAACCATTAGTAAACCACTCCAATCTATATAGGTCCAATTCAACAAATTATCTTCCTGATATGTCTTTGAAGATGTCTTCTCATTCAGCTTCTATCAATGGCTGGAAAACTATGGTTCAATATAATGTTTAAATGTATTTAAGAAACTGCCTACTTGAGTTTTTTCAATTTATTATTCTTAATTATGGAGAGGGAAGAGTGCCAGAGAAGCTATAAAAAGGAAGTAACTGTGAAATCTTATTTCCATACTTTATTATTTCACCATAGCAGGTGCTTATTATTCCCATATGAAAGAGTGCTGGTATTCCTGAGCATCTCCATCATATAATAATAATAATAATAATAATAATAATAATAATAATAATAATAATAATAATAATAATAATAATAATATATTTATATTTCCTGCCTCTCCCTATGGATCGAGACAGGAGTACAAAGATAAAATGAACAAAATGTACAGTAGTACAATCAATAAAAAAAGAAAAACATAACAATAAAACCACAACAGTAATAAAAAGAACAATAATAAAAACAATAAACCCAACAGTAAAAACAATAAAATAACAGCAATAATTAAAACAATAATAAAATTACAATACAGGTCTATGCCGCGAGTGATATAATCTTTTTTCACTCGGGAGGTCCTTATAAGATGGTAATATACACCAAGATCTGAGCTATATTCATGCACATCATCATCAAATAAGTGTTTGATAGAAAAAACAAAGCAGGACCAATGGCACTAACAATTATATAAAGTCAGATTACTGACTGCTTATAACTCTAAGGCAGGGACCGGCAACCTACGGCCCGGGGGTCGATTAAGGCCCCGGGCCCCGGACTTACCGGCCCAGGCCGAAGGTTGCCGCTGTCGCCGCCGCCGCACGCCGCCATCGGGGCGTGTTTTCGGCCACGCTCGCTGCGATCACCATTTTGGAAGTCAAAATGGCGGTCGTGACGCATTTGCGCATGCGCAGTACTCTTGCGCATGCGCAAACGCGTCGCAGCCACGATTTGGACTTCCAAAATGGCGGCCACAACATGTGCTGTGGCAGCTGCGGCCGCATGCGCTACGGCGGCGGTTGCGGTAGCAGCTGCGGCGGCAGCGTTAGCGGGGGGATCGCGTGCGGCAGAGGAGGGTGTGTGCGCGCGTGTGAGCACGCGCACCATCATTTCCCCACCCCCTCGGCCCAGCCGAGACCTGGGCTACGGGAGACCGGCCCAGGTCTCAAAAAGGTTGCCTGTCCCTGCTCTAAGGGAATCTTGGATGCACTGAAAGAGGAGTTTGAAACAAATTGCAGGAAACTGTGGTCTTTACTCTCAAAGTTTCTTTCTCCAACATACATGTTCTTCCTGCTCATGGTACTTTGGAAGGCTGGCAGATGACTTTTTTCTGAATCATAAGTTGGTCTATACCGCATTGGATTCCAACCAAACTATGATTATGTACCAAACAATAATTTCCATCAAAGTATGATTTTCTAGAACATCTCACAATGCCTTCTGAAACCTAACACTGGCCAAAATGAAGTCAAACTATTTAGAACAACTGATTATTGCTTTCATCTTCAGCAACATAAAGAGAAGCAACATGTCATTTTTTCATTTTCTCATGTTAATTACTCCAGTTTGGCCAAACTTGTTTACCTCTTGAGCTTCTGTTTCACTAAAGGGAGCAATATGATCTTTCACCCAAAAGAGGTAATAAAACTCGCAATAAAATGTGAGGTAGCACCAAAGACTAAGGTCAATAAGATTTTAAAAAAAAAACTAAAGCAAATTGGATATAAAGACCCTTGTCTTAATGTAAATTGAGAATGTTTGCTAAAATACCCAGGCTGTGCAGCTGACTTAAATAATAAACAGTAAGCAATAGATAATATGAGGTACTCCTCAAGGACACTGCTAAAGAACTGACAGCCAAGGAAAGACTCTAGCCCAGAAACAAAATCCAGCCTTCATGAGGTTTGTTCGTGAAGCCACCCAGCATCTTCCCCAGACTTCAGATGCTCTCCTCTACCAATGAACTTCTCTTGTATCTGGGCATTTCTGTTTTGCAAATGAACCAAATTAGGAGGGATACTCTTATAGTGGTTTGAGTGTTGGACTATAACTCTGGAGACCCGGGTTCAATTCCCAGTTCGGCCATGAAATCCACTGGATGAACTTGGGCAAGTCACACTTTCTCAACCTTGGGGGAAGACAATGGGAAAGCCTCTTCTAAACAACTCTTGCCAAGAAAACCCAGGATAGGAGCCTTAGGGTTGCCATAAGACAGAAACAACTTGAAGGCACATGACAACAAGCTAATACCCCAGAGGAAGGGATCCAAATTCAAAATGACCTTAACAGATTTAGAGAGCTGGGCCAAAACTAACAAAATTAATTACAACAGGGAGAAACATAAGGTACTACTCTTAGGGAGAAAAAATGAAATGCACAGATATAGGATGGGTGACACCTGGCTTGACAAAAGTACATGTGAAAGTGATCTAGGAGTCTTAGTAGACCACAAGCTGAACATGAGTCAGGAATGTGATGCTGCAGCCAGTTAATATACTAGTACAGTGTCTAAACAGTGATAGTGCCACTCTATTCTGCTTTGGTCAGACCTCACTTAGAATACGGTGGTACCTTGACATACGAGTTTAATTCGTTCCGTAACCTTGCTCGTATGTCAAATTGCTCGTATCTCAAAGCAATTTTCCCCATTGTTGGGGTTGCGTGCAGCGGTGTAGTGTGCGATTCCTCGTATCTCAAATCTTGCTCTCATCTCAAAGCAAAATATTGCTCGCTCGGCGGCTCGTATCTCAAAACACTCGTATATCAGGGCACTCGTATGTCAAGGTACCACTGTACTGTGTCCAGTTCTGGGCACCACAATTCAAGAAGAATGTTGAGAAACTGGAGCTTGCCCAGAGGGCAGCAACCCAAATGATAAAAGGCCTGGAAATCATACCCTACGAGGAGCAACTTAGGGAGCTGGGTATGCTTAGCTTGGGAAGAGAAGGTTAAGATGTTACATGATAGTCATGTTTAAATATTTGAAGGAATGCCACATTGAGGATGGAACAAGCTTGTTTTCTGCTGCTCCAGAGACTAGAACACAGAACAATGGATTCAAATTACAGAAGAAGAGATTCCACCTAAACATTAGAAACTTCTTGACAGTAAGAGCTGTTCGACAGTGCAATATACTGCCTCGGACTGTGGTGGAGTCTCCTTCTTTGGAGGTTTTTAAATAGGTTGGATGACCATCTGTTGGGTGTGCTTAGATTGTGTATTCTTGCATGGCAGGAGGTTGGACTGGATGGCCCTTGTGATCTCTTTCAGCTCTGTGCCTCTATGATCAGCTGCTGATCTGAGAGGAGCTTTTTCAGCACTGTGAAGGGAAAATGTAGAAAAAAATGCCCTCAGCTTTTTCAGCTGATCTGGATAGATCATGTGAGTACAACAGTGTTAGGAAGGGTGTATAAGTGTGAATGGGAAGTGTGTTTGGGGCAAGTATGACTGAATGGTATGAGAGAATGTGGGGTAATTTATATATCACACCTAATTTATATTCTTGCAGTCTCCAGGTGGTTTCCTAAGTAACAATCTGGTCCTCAGGACAAAGGTTTCTCTGTCCCTAAGCTAGGAAATACTTTTCTTAAAATCTGAACAGCAGATTTAGGCAGTTCAGGTGTACTTGGAAGTATGAAACATGAATATATAGTACTTAATGCTTAGGACAAGATCTACAGAAGAGGTAGAAACACACACACAATTGGCTAAATGTTAGACAATACCTCATACAATGATTTAATTTATTTACTGTGCAGATGCGACATCTCTGTAAATGATTGCCACGTTGGATTGGTTTAAGAATGACAGCATATCCAGTCTACTGCTTTTATACTCTGTCAGCCAAGGGTTGCAGACAAACTGTTCCATACAGACAAAAGAATTAGCTAAACAAGTATATTTGATACCTTCCAGCTTCTCTAGAACATTAGTCTTCAATTAGTGGGTTGAGACTGGTGTACTCTAAGGTGGGTCATACAGTGATATGCCTACAATTTTGACATTTAGTGTGTTTTTTTTCTTTAAAAAAAGGAGAGAAAGAGAGAAGGCTGCAACAGACCAGATGCAAAGAAGGACAGAAAGCCTATGGATCGAGGCGGGAGTACAAAGATAAAATGAACTAAATGTACAGTAGTACAATCAATAAAAAAAGAAAAACATAACAATAAGGGAGATAATTTTGGAAGTAGAGCTTATTACACAGATATGAGAAGAGATACACCCACCAAAAACCCCTCTTCTGCACAATTATTCAAGATACAGGTGTCAAGGAAAAAGCAACATGGGACATACAGTAATAGAAATAAA